TCTCTCTCTCCATTGTTCATTATCTTTTCCCCTTTCTTATTCACCTTTTCATCATCTTAAAGATAATAACAGTTATCATTTTGTCGATAAGAACATTGAAATATAATCAGTATTGTTTCTGATTATCTTTTCTATTTCATACTTTTATCCTCTCTGAATCTCTTCATCACCATTTGATGTCAACAGGCAGGCAGAAATAAATATAAAGAAGGAGAAAGAGAAAAAGACAGAGGAAAACTGTAAGAAGATGATAGACAACCTCTAAATACCCTGAAGGTATTCTCGTTGATAATGATAATAATGATCAACTATTTCTATCTAAATGCATGATTGAGTTATGTCTAATCAACATTTCGATCATGAAGAGAAAAGAAACAAGCAGAAGGGGAAACAGACAGAAATAGAAAGAAAAGTAAGATGAAGATGAAGATGAAATAAGGAGCTCAAAAAGCCAATTATATTTAACTTCCTCTCTTACACTTATCCTTTAGTTATTATTATCTTTTACTTTTCATCTCCTGCTGTTGCTATCATAACATTTGTTGCATCCTTCCCAGTTTAACCTTTATCAGTTAATATTATCTTGACACTACATGAATAGTAAGTTTTCAGGCTAATGGGGTTTGATGATATATATTTTTGATGATTCATTTTCACCCCATCAATCAATAGCATTCTGACAGTTCTGGACATTGATAACTCCTGAAAGCATAGGAAAAGAGAAGGAAAAACAGAGATGAGAAAACTATTCCAAGCACAGAATCAATATGAATCTCTCTCTTGTTTTCTTTATTTCTTACTTTTTCTCTCAAGGTTGATATATAACAATCAATAATCCTGTCAATTATATCAATAACTAATTGCCAAACTGGAGCTGATAAGCAACTTTGCAGTTTAATGATTAAATGATTACCACTATCACTGCGTAACCTTTTTCATTAATCAAGGTAAATTTATCAATAAGATTAAATTAATAATGCAAAAACCTTCAATCTAAATGCATCATATTATAATAAATGTTCAAGGTGTATGCGTTTCATTATCCGTTATGAATACTTTAATCGTTAAAGTGGACTGTTTTTTTCGATTTTTCTCATACTCTTTCTCATGTCCATTGACAACATTTATTATTAGATAGTTAATGTAAGTGATGATAAAACCTTTTCATTGAACAAAATGGTTCATTTAACTTGCTCAAAGGTTACCCACACATTTTACCTCCTCTTCCTTAATCTTGCCTGTCTATCTGTGTTTATATTCATTCATCTATCTTGTCATCTGATCAAATAGACCTTTTAATTGGATTAAGTTAATGAGATTAAGGAATTATAAATCGGCTTGCATCAAACTTTCTCTGTCTCTCCTCTTTACTCTCTTCTTCTCTCTCTCTCTCCATCATAATCAACATCTTTCGTATTTTTTCTCCTTTATCAACTTCCTTGTTCTTAACTTGTCTCTCTCTCTCGCTCTTTTGCTAATCTGATGATCCGTTTGTTTCTCTTGGTCAGTTTGCTAATCCTGATCAGTTAACAGGCAAGGAGTGCAAATGTCTTTACTCTATCGATATGTGCTTGCAAATGCTGACCGATGGAGGAAAAGAGAGAAACAAAAATGGAGAAATTTTGTTTACTCTTTTCATTGAGAAAATTTCACAGGGCTTACAAACTCTATTCCTCATCAAACTCATGATACCACATGATAATCAGGGTAATCATGATTGCAATTACATTTTCTGCAACCACAATCAAAATTAATTGCTGATTTGGTAGGAAAACGTTTCTCCTTTTCATTTTATTCCATAAACCTTTTTGTTAAGAATGAGTCAATGTTTAACTTTCCACTATTCAAGGTAAATAACAAGACTAAATCATCATCATAATCATCAAATAATCAACAATTATTTGCTTGTTAACATGATAAAAAAAAACATATAATATTAAGATTCTGATAATTATCTGGATAACATCTCAATCTAAACTTTTTTTCCTTTAAGCTTCAACCTTACAGACTGAGACTCTTTTTAAAAAGATAAATAAAATTGATCTCATCAAATTTTTCAACACCGTCAACATGATTATCACGATTGTTGAATCTATTGTATCACATTTACTTCACTCCTCAGATTATAATGTACAAGGCATTTCACCAAGTTTCCAACAAGTTTCTCTTAAATAAATTTTTTGTTTTCGAGTGTTCAGACCCCAGACTCGAATTATGGTAGTTTAGGCGGTACTGAATTGTCATATTAAAATATCAAGGTCATTCCACTCGTTCTGTTATGACACGATTTCAATGTCATTTGATGGTCACAACCAAATTCACTCGCAATGATGAAGCTCCTAACGATTTTACATTTTTTGGAAATTTTTAGCTGCAGAGATAACGCGTTTTCGATTCGGAATCCTTTTCATAAAATGTTGGGGATAATTCCGGATCTAGTTATACCAACACAAGTGTAAAATGTTAAGTACGACTGTTAAGTACGTTTATAGTTTAAAAGCGTTCATTATAAAAGAAAGGGTAAGGTTAATAGTTGCCTAAACAATGACAATTACTGATTGATTGATTATATTATTTAGCTTAACTGACTCTCTACTTATAGTAGTTCACAAGGTGACCGTTTGTCAGCTAACCTAATCAGAGGGGGGAAGCACAGGAGCTTCCACAGTGTTTGAATTGGTTGTGTTACACAATAACCTCTATCCAACATAAAATTTTTAAGTTACTATAAAATGACATTTTAGTCAAATCAGTTTTCTATTTCATCGTGTCATCGTGTTGAATATTTTCTTGATTTAAGTCTTTATTCAAACGTTTTAGATAATAATAGGAAACTTCCACAGCACAATTAGCATTTTTTATAGCCCATAACAAATGTCCAATAATGGGACTTGAGCTCTTCCACTTTCCAATTGTAGGGTTTTTTGTACCTTGAAGATGTTGGATCAATCCAAACAAAACGGCCGAATCAAACAGCAGATAGCTAGAGCATGTGGTGAATATTCATTAGAACAGGAGATACCAGTTCATAACTGGACCATTAAAGCCCAACTCATATGATAATAGGTTGATAGTCGATGGGCAGCACCTTGGAGCAGCACGACTACACTTGCCTTTGTATATCTTATAATATCATATAATAATTGGTTCTTTTATTTTCGGTTTTCTTATTAGGAATCAGTACATCTATGAGGAGTAAAGGTTTAACTGTTGGGTAGATCGTCTAGTGTGGGTAGTCATTTGTGGTTAGTCACCATAACGGTTTTAGTAAATTTTATTCAAAAATTTAATTTTATTTTGGAAGCCTCGAGTCTAGGGTACGCTAAAACAAAAATTCATTCAAGAAAAACTTGTTGGAAACCTGGCGAACTACCCTGTAGTTGAAATTTCAAAAGTTGGATTGGAAATCTTCACTTTCCATTGAAATAACAAACAAGTTGTATTAAATTAAAGTATCATAATAATAAACATCAGGTTGATTCTTGGATTAATAATTAGATTGATATCTTTATTTATGAACTAATATTTGTGCTAATTTGAATTCTAGTGGCGATTACAGTTTTATTATATTGCCAACTAATCATTTCTAATCATCTATATTTATCTAGTTAACTGATGATAATAAGAAATAATCACAAATACACTGATGATTATGATGTTATCATGAAATTCATAATGTGAGTGTTGATATTTGTATATATCATGTTATTTTCTACTGATGACTTTTATACTATTGATAGATAAATTTTTCCCCTTGTATCATCAATATCATTAACTATTGTTATAAATACACAAAAATCAACTGATTGTTTGATCTTTTCATATTCTTCCTGCTTAGTGGTGATGCTGATGATTCCTCTCACTGATTGTGCTGATGATGGTGTATAACAACAACAACAACAACAACAATGTAAATGTGGTGGTTTCATTATTTTCTGATACAATAATAATGATAAAAAAAGAGGAACCAAGCAAATTTAGGATAGTATGAGATTTATCTTCCATAGTCTTACTTTTCTTTCTACCATCTAATTCTCATCTTTGGTTTTTTACGGAATGAGGATGAACGAATTAAATAAATGTAGATGAAACGTTATTAGAAGAACTTTAACTAATATAAATGAACTTTATTATCCAATTGTTGATTAAATGATTGTAATGAATTACACAGATTATTGGAATGGGTTAACTTGATTAAAGATGATGACAAGATGAAATCTATTAGAATGTTTTAACTTGAATGTTATGTTGATTCTAAAGAAGTGAACATTCTATTAGTAGGTGATCTGGTTTTATACAAGATCATCGAGACTCACGAGTGTCACGTGTGTGTTATTCATCTTTGTCGGTTAGTAATAAAGTTTTAGATTGATTAGTAATTGAGGATTATGATCCAAATAAAGTAATTGTAATCATTGGTTATGGAAGGAAGTAATCCTAAATAAGGGTTAATTGGTTATTGGTAATGAACGGATTTATCCTTGTACGGGTTTGTAACCAGTGATGAAGGAAGAGACCAAAATTTACGTTACATTTCCCCCGACTAGAAGTTGAAACAGTCCCTTGTTTCAGTTTTCACTGTTGCAAAGTCGTTGATTTCTTGGGTCCTTTAGTCTTAGAGGAAGTTGAACGCCAATTCAATGATGAAGATGAGCTTTCGCATGTTGGACTGAGGATATACAATGTGTTCATATTTAAGTTGTTGACAGTTCTGTCGGATATGACCAGGTTCTTTGCAAAGTAACAAATAATCTTACGTTCTTGTTGGTCTGTCCTTCGTTGGATAGAGTATTGAGATGTCTAGCGGTCCCAACCAGTGTACTTATATGTCCAAAATCACTTCAATAGTAGCAGATCCAGACGCTCCCTTTTCTCGTTGTGCCTTTACAATATTATGGCAAATTTCATCGGGTGAAACCGAGAAAGGTGACTTAGGTTTGTTCAGAAGTTCACATTTTTGATCGTTGTTGTTGGTTATTGGAGTAAAGTCTTTTATCAATCTTTCTTTAGCTTCTGACCAACTTTGCGGGAAGTTATATTCGTAAGAATATTCTTCTTTGAACAAAAGTTGAGCAACTCCAGTTAAAAAATCGGGAAATCCAACGAGACGATCTTTATCGGACCAACCAATGATATTTGTGATTTGTTCGTAGTCACTTATCCAATTTTCTATCGATGGTTCGAATCCATTGAAGGTTGGAACTTTAACATTAACAGTTAATATTTTACTGAGACTCATGGTGAATTGTTTTGGTTTTAGAGATGAACGAAAACTGAGTTAATGATTATATTAAATGAAGATGATCACTAATAATTATGATTTGATGTAGGATTGATGTTAAACTTTTTAATATTTGAAGTGATATTGATGTTAACTGGGTTGTGGATTCAGGTTGAGTGATGAGTTTGATTAATAATCGACCGTTTTTATGTGGAAAATAAATTATCCTGCGACATTTCAATCGGAAATACCTTATATGGATCATTGTGTTTCTAATTCCATTTTTGGTATTTAAAATTGGCGGAAATGGTTTTGCTTAGTCAGGACAGGTGGCAGCATAATATTATGGAACGGATGTTGTTGTTGTCAGCCATTTTAGCTTAATTAAGTATTTCCTATGTGAATAACATTATTTCACGTTGTATTAGTTTGGTTTTACCTGGTTTTGTTCTCAATTTCAATTTGATTTCATTGAGAAAATTATTTATCGACTAAAAATAAAATGTTGCTTAAGTTAATTCTTATTTCGTGTATCATTTTGGGTCTTTTTACTACATGTAAGTAAAATTTTCAGTTTTTCCTTTTTAGTGTTTGTTTATTCTTATTTTGATTGGTTTAGTATTAACTCATTTGTTTTTTATTCTTTCCGTTTTCCTTATTTAGCCTGTGTTCCACAGGAAAGACGTCAGTTTCCTGCTTCAGGAAATATTCCAAACCTTGAAGCCTTTTTAGAAAATGGAGAGAGAGTAACTTCAAGGTATCGGACCTTTGGGCGACTTTTAGGACGTGACGAGACTGCACCAGGTGACCAGCTTGAGGAGGATCCTGATTATTCTAGTTTAACTGATCGGGAAGTGTTAAGTACTTCGGAAATAAATGAGCAAATTAGGATTCGACGGGAACAACAGCAGAGAAATGAAGATTCTGGTGGTGGTCAGGATGATGTTGAAACTCAGGGGCTTACCAGGAATACTCTTCCAATAATAAGAAAACCAAAAAGGAAACGTGCTAGTTCCCGGAAACGTGCACCTCGGACAGAGATTGAGCGACTGGAACAACAACCTCCAAGTCCATCTTCAGAGTCTCAAGAAGAGGTAGATCCATTGGATGAAAGTCAAGCAGGTCCTTCTGGTCAGCAAATGATTGGAATATCTGAAAAAATGGTTTATCACCCCTGTAAGTCGGATATTTATGCAGTTATTGATGGAGAGCCAATCAGAGGAGTTGAATATGAGCGTTCGATGGCTCCAAATAGTCGTTTCATGAACGCTAAGGATCTTTCCAAATTAACAAAGGTTACGGAAGCAGAATTAGTCGCATGGGCAGGGGGTGAGGATAAGCATATTGATAAGCAAGAGGAAGCTGCTAAGAAATTTGCGGACGAGAATCCCGTTTGTTTTGAATGTGCGTATTGCGAAACCAGAAAATCGACCTTAAAGGAGCTCAAAAAACACACAGTGGGTAGACTGAGAAGTGGCGACCAACGTTATTTGGAAGTGAGTTGTTTGGCTCGTATTCGTGATGATAAAATATCTAATCCAAATGCAATAGGTACTACTACTCGCCCGTTGAAATTCCCTTGGGCTTATATTGTTTGCACCGACCCAAGAAAATTCATACCTCGGCTGGACCCCGTGACCGGAAACGTAGAACATGACTTCGAGATTCCGAAAAATATTCAAGATCAATGGGATACTGAGATGGTCGATGAAAGACGAACACCATCTCGTGGTAGGCCAAGGAAACGATAAAACATCGTGATGATTATTTTATATGATATATTTTATATTTGAAAAAAAAAAACTGATAGGGACAGAAAGGGACAGTAAAAAAATGAAAACTGATTTCATATTCGTATTCAGCTAAGTCCATTTAGTTTATATAAAATGCAAAAAAATGCTAACTCTATATTTCGAAAAGTTATGATTAAAAGACATAACTTATATATTCTCAATTATTTGTTTTTTGTTTCTTTTACTTTTTGTGTAATTTTTTGAATTGGAAGCTATTAATTGTTTAGACTATCATTATTTTTAATTACTATTTTATTACCGGAAATAATAAAAGCTATTATTTTCTCTAATCGTTTTTTTTTATGGGAAGAGAATTTAATTCTTAATTTGGCTATGCTTTTTTCTGCGCAATTCTTAAGGTGATGATAATGAAAGTTGTTGTTGTCTGTAATTTCACATTTATTGTAAAATCATTAGAGCAACAACTTGAAAATTTGTTAAACTTTTATCTTAATTTCGTGCTTCTCCTTTCGCATCATTGTAACTTTGATTTTATCACCATGGGTTAGTGTTTTTACCTTTTCTATTCAATGTGTTAATCGAATTTCGTTCTTTCATTTTTTCATTTTTTGTTATTGTGTTTTGTGTTTTGTTTAGATGACGCTATTCGACTGTGTATTTCTACTCTGGAATGGAATGCTAGTTGGGAAAAAGAACATGTTTCTATTGGTTGCCTGATCAAGAAATGGAATGAACTAACGGGATGTCTTTTTCCAAATCAGGATAAAGGTTTCGAGGAGGTTAAAAGTTATCTGGACGAAATCGAGGGAGTTGAAGTTTATGAAAATTTCTATGTTAGACTTATGTGTCCATCTTATGGCCGCGGAATTATTTATCCTGAAGGTACCGTTAAACCTTAATTATTAATTTAATTGGTCGAAAATTAAAGTTTAAACTTTAAATTGAAATAATCATTCCTTTTTATTTTTAGTTGAATTGAAATTTATCGGATTGACTTATATTGTAATTATGGTGATGATGATGATGATGATGATAATGATGATGATGATAATGTTTATCAAAATTTGAATAAAATGACTGGTTTTTTATCGGTTACTTTTGTTGAATCTTGTTCGGTTTCAAGATTATCTAGAGCTAATTCTTCTTGGTGATCGTTTGTGTCATTAGTTGATGTTATAGTTGGGGGACGAAGATAGAGAGCTCTGATTGTTGGATAGATGTAACGATAAATGAGGAAAGTGATGATAGACAAAATAATGATGATGGAGATAATTAACGATGTTAAATAGGTAGGATTATCACTCAAAATAACACTGAATGTTTCATTTTTGAATTCGAGTTTTTCGAGGAGTTGAGTGTGTACTTGGCCGGCTGAAAAGAAGTGATTTATAGCATCCAAGTCAGATTGTTGAAAACCAGCCTTGTACTTGAAATGAAGTTTAAAGAACTCGTGGGTTTCACCGTCGATAACAAGTTTAACATCTTTTGGGAAGGAAAAGACCCAATTAGGACAATCGAATTCTTTGCCAGCTATTGTGATTTTGTGACCAAAGCAGTAGATGTACCTGCCATTTGAAGTGGATTTGATTTGTAAATCGGTGAAAGTGTTTTACATCACAAGTTTTCCATGAATCAGAGTCTGATTCTGTTCATTACACCAATTATTTGAAATGGGTCCATCATATAGATATTAGTAGAATATTATTGTACTGTCATCAACTCAACGGGGTATCTGAATTCGTCCTCGATGGAGATATTAAGTAAATTAAACATTTGAGGACTTACTTTAGATTGTTGCATTTCTTTAAATATATCAACCAATTGTATTTTGAGTGTGGTAAAATAATTTGCTATTCCTGTAGCTGATAAGATGGTTGGTAATATCGAGTTTTCTAATTCATCGATTCGCATTGTGTTATTATTGATACGTGCGATAGCTTTGTCTATCGCAGCACTGAGTTCGTTTACCTTGCTTTCTAATTTTGCCATATTTATCTTTGTATTATCAATTTCTGATTCTAGCTTCTTTGTCTTGTCTGAAAAGCTTTTTATAATTGCGAAAGCAGATATTCCTACAAACACCAGAGTTGAAGCAGTTAATATAATTTCTCGTTTAGGTCTTATCACTCGGGTATCACAATATTTTACGATAGTTTTTATCGTACTTTCCTGGTACTGATTATTACACCAATCTCGGAAATCTTTTCGTTTTTGCTCTGGAAGCTTAAGTGATTTCGAAAGGAAGGGACATGTGTTGATTAGTGAAATTTCAGATAAAATTTCTCCTTCCATATCGATGACAGGTTTGTTTGATTTTTGCCATAAGAGAGGATTCATGACATTGAAATCAGCGTTAGTTTGAAGTGGAATTAGACAAGCTAAGGTGAAGACGAGTCCTGTTAATCCGGCGCTTTTCGATCGGGTGACTCTTCTATCAGTTTGATAGTTTCTTGCTGAAGTCTTAGGAGGTGAAAAATCAGGATCATGTTGCGATTTTCTTGGAGGAGATGTTCTTCGTCGGTTAGTTCGTCGTAAAATCGTACTCTTTTTGGTACAGGGGTAGTTGTTTTTTCTTTTGGAGTTTGAACTTCTTGAGATAACTCACTGCAAAGAGGACAGTTTTCTCTACTATCAATTGAATTATCATTATCTGTAGATGGATCGGTTGAGAAAGAATTATCAAAAATGATTCTTTTTGGGTTTTGTACTGTGAATGTCCGGTTATTTGCGGGCGTACTGCAAGTTGGTCCTGTTCGTGTCTCTGCAAAGTCACAAGTATCATGCCAGCTATCATTTGATGATTGTGACAGATCTTGATTACTTATTAGTTGATTTCGACTAAAGTTAAATGAAAGGTTAGGCCTGATGGTGATTGGAGTGGTCCCGTGTGATTCATGGTCGTAGCTTTCATCTCTTTGTTGATAATGTTTTAATCGTTTTATGTTAACAGTTTGTCTCTTTTGTGTACCAATTTCTTGAACAACGTAGACTAAAGACGATGGTTTCTCGATGATAACGTAAGGACCATGATATTTATGAAGTAATTTTTTGACTAGTCCGGTAGTAACTGGATTTGGATAATACACAAGAACGAGATCTCCAATTTTGAACTCTTTGTTCTCATGTCTTGAATTATAATCGTCAAGATTCTTTGAGCGAGATTCTTCCATGTTATTTAAGACAAACTCTCTTAATTTTGGCCAGGTATTTTTGATAAATTCAACTCTTTCTTCTTCTTCATATGTTGGTGTGTCAACGGGAATATTAGCTTCGTCAGGGGTAAGAGCTTTTCTTCCATATAAAAGTTCAAAAGGTGACATTCTTGTACTGGAATGAGTTGAGATGTTATAAGCGAAAGTGACATAAGGTAAATATTCATCCCAGTCACTATGATATTCGTTGACATACATGGATAGCATTGAAGCTAAATTAGAATTTACACGCTCAACTTGACCATTTGATTGAGGATGATAAGGTGTAGTGAAACAGTGTTTGATGTTGTGATTATCAGCCAGTTCCTTGATCAGTTTGCTCGTGAAATTTGTTCCATTATCTGAAACGAGGAACGTGGGAGCACCATGGCGACAGAAAATTTGTTGTTTAATAAATTTGGCTGTATTCTGCGAAGATGGTGATGCAATTGCGGCGGTTTCCATGTATTTGGTGAAAGCGTCAACAGCGACAATTATATATTTTTTGCCATGAGCTTTATTAAGTGGTCCAAGAATGTCTATGTGTACTCGTTCGAATGGATAGGTAGCGGCGAGAGGTTTCAACAATCCTGCTTCTCTTTCTCGTGGGTGTTTTTTTGTTTGACAAAGGAAGCAAGTTGCAACATAATTATTAATATAACTCGTCATTCCCGACCAATAATATTTACTACGAATTTTTTCATAAGTTTTAGTTATTCCTTGGTGACCAGCATAAACGGAATCATGGTGGATTTGGCAGATTTCTTTTCTTAACGATTTTGGAACGACCAATAAATTAAAGGATTCTTGATTTTTCCAAATCTTCCTGTACAATAGCGCGTCCTTGATTAAAAATTTCTCCAACTTCTTTTTTCTCTTGTTAGAAAGTGAATCATGATTTTTGACACTTTCCATTATTCGAACACAGAATTGATCTTTTGATTGTTCTTCTCTAAATTTTTCTAAATTTAATTCTAATTGTACAGTGAAAGCATGTACTCGATCTTCGTATTCAGCAGTTTCTTCGGGTTCGCCTGTTGGGTATCTACTTAGACAGTCGACATCGGCATGATGTTTACCACTTTTATATTCGATAGTCATGTCGAATTCTTGTAGAAGCAAAGCCCAACGAGTCAATCTGGGTGGAAGTTTCCTTTTAGATTGTAGAAATGAAAGTGCACAATGATCTGTCACTACTTTGAATGTCTTTTGGTCCAGATAAATTTTGAATTTTTCAATAGCAAAAATGATTGCGAGACACTCTTTCTCTGAGATTGGGTAATTCAATTCATGGGAATTCATTTGTCTACTGGCAAAGGCTACTGGTCTCCAATTGTCACCATGTTTCTGTAAGAGAGCAGCGCCAATTCCAGTCCCAGAAGCGTCAGTTCTAACTTCAATTGGTAAATCAGATTGGTAATGAGCCAAAACTGGAGCATTGATCATTGCATCTCTTAGAGTTTCGAAGGCCATTTGTTGATCGTGACCCCAATCGAAATTAACATCTTGTTTTGTTAAGTAAGTTAAGGGCTTGGCGATGGTAGCAAAATTTTTGATGAACTTACGATAATAACCGCAAAAGGCTACGAACGATTTAACATCCCGAACACACTTAGGTACAGGGAATTTCTTGACAGCTTCAATCTTGGTATCTTCTGGGTATTGTCCATCCTTAGTAATTTTGTAACCAAGGTAAGTAACTTCTGGGATGGCAAACATGCTCTTAGACGGATTTAGTTTTAAACCAGCATCGATGATTCGGTCTAAAACTTGACGAAGACTTTCGATATGATCATCGAAATTTTTACTGAAAATTAGTACATCATCAAGATATACTAGACATGAATTATATTTTAATCCGGATAGAACGACATCCATACATCGTTGGAATGTGGCTGGAGCATTTGTTAATCCGAAGGGCATCACGTCAAATTGATAAAGTCCATCCATGACTGTGAAAGCTGTTTTTTCCTTATCTTCTTCTTTAATACCAATTTGGTAGTATCCTGACTTCAGATCTAAACTGTAAAGATATTGGCGCCACAAAGATAATCGAGAGCATCATTAATATTTGGTAGAGGGTAATGATCTTTCTTGGTGATGGTGTTAAGTTTTCGATAATCAATACAAAAACGCCAATCTCCGGTTTTCTTTTTAACTAACACGATAGGTGAAGCCCATGGTGAACATGATGGTTTTATGATTGATGTATCGACAAGCTCTTGAACTAATTGGTTAGTTATTTTTCGTTTCTCGGGAGATACTCGATAAGGTGCCACTGAGATTGGTTTGTGTGTTCCAGTGTCGATTTCATGAACAAATTTATTGGTTAATCCAACTTCTTCAGGTTTGAATGCAAATGCTTGACGATAGTTCTTGAGTAAAGCGATTAAGGTTTCACGTTGTTTATCGTCAAGTTGTTTACCAATTTTAATTTTTCCGTCAGAATAAGCCATTTCTTCAGTGAGAGTGGAATCTTTTTTAAAGTTTTGCTGAGCTTTGATTCCTTTGTTTTCATCAGTTTTCTCATCCGGTATCTCAATGATATCTTCAGGATGTTTGCTCTCAAAGTTTCCGATTGTAGTTCCGCCGGTTAAATTGACGGTAGATGGGGTAAAGTTACATAATTGAACAATTGTTTCACCACCAATAATGTTAGTGATTGTATTAGCAACACTTATGTTGTTTTTTGTAAAAGTTGAGTCATTAGTGGATACCATATAAGTACCTTTTGGTAAATGTCGCTTATTAGATGCAGTGGCTGTAGTTAAAACTCTTGTTCTTGGAGGTAAAACTAGATCTTTTTTTAGATATAAATTACCATCGAGTTCTTTAAGGATCAATCGGCCTCGAGGATCGACCAAGATGCCAATAGAGGTGTTTGATTTTGTCCAATGAGGAGTTGGATATTAGCAGGTAGAGTTTCAACAACAACGGTTGCTCTCATGGTTCGAATGACGTTATCTATTTCTAGACCTAAGTCATAATCAAATTGGCCAACAGGAGTTATGTTGGTAGAAGCAACACCAGATATTGAAGGTCCAACGTAGGCTTCCATTGGAGTGTTTAGTTTCTCAGCAACCAGTTTAGTAACTATGGTTATTTGCGAACCAGTATCAATTACTCCTGCAACTTCGTGTCCATTAAGTTTAGCATTTACTTGAATCAATGGTCCTGTTAATTTGGTGTCACTTAAACTTTCAGAATTGAGCGAAACAATTGTAAATGGCGCTGAAGGATCATTTATATGATTATTTGTTTTTTGATGTAAATCACTGGTGGTACAATAAGTTTGTACATTAGTGTTATGAGACTGAGGAGGCAAATTTTGTGTTGTCGATTGTTGTTGAGAAAAGGATGGTGGTTGTTGTTGTTGTTGTTGGGTTGTCCAATATTGTTCATATTGGGTTGTGCCTGTTGTACTTCATTATTTTGAGTACTGGTTCGATCCTCTACGTGAGTTCTGAGATCGCTGATCTCATTTTGCACGACAATCCCTTGCAATGTGCCCTACTTTTTACAGTATAAACACGTGATTTGGGTCCTGTCTCGATTTGTTCATTTGACTCATTTGTAAATTAATATGTTTTGACTAATTCAATTAGTTCTTTGATTTCAGATTTGAAGTGCGAACTTCATTTTTAACGCTTGTTGGGGTTACAGCGGTAAACACGATACGTCGTAATAACTAGGAAGTTTGTTCTGAGTCATTTCGAGCCCGCGTTTTCTCAATTCGGCTTCTTTCGGCTCTTCTTATTCGCGTGATAAGTTCAAGATGATTTTGATACTGTATCTATCTTTGATTTCATAACTGATATTAATGTCCATCCATTCACATGTGTTGAGGAACTCATTGAAGGGTGTTTTCGTCTTCAAAGCATAATTGTACATCTTGTTGCAGTAAGCAACTGGATCTTCGTTCATTCCTTGTTTCGTATTGTAAAGGAAATTTGTAATCTTGATGTTCTTTGGGAGGAAGCATTGTATCAAAACTTGTTTGAAAGCTTGCCAGGTCCGAATTTCACTTTCTTGGTCTCTTCCAACCATGCTTGTAGGTCGGGTCCTAAAACAACCGATTTTATTGAATCGATCGTCATCACCCAATTAGACTGTGTTGTTTGGTTTTCGTAGATAGCCACCATGAACATTCATGAATGAGGACCTACAAACGGATGAATTTGTATGAGTTTGGAAGGTTCGGTTCATTGTCTTGGTAAAGTCTTCTAAAGTGTACGAAATCTGATTAGTTTCACTCATTGTTGAAAATTGCGGATCCACCGCTGCCACCAATTGTAACGTGAAAAGTTACGAATGAGTGATGAACGAATTAAATAATGTAGAAACGTTATTAGAAGAACTTTAACTAATATAAATGAACTTTATTATCCAATTGTTGATTAAATGATTGTAATGAATTACACAGATTATTGAAGGTTAACTTGATTAAAGATGATGACAAGATGAAATCTATTAGAATGTTTTAACTTGAATGTTATGTTGATTCTAAAGAAGTGAACATTCTATTAGTAGGTGATCTGGTTTATACAAGATCATCGAGATCACGAGTGTCACGTGTGTTATTCATCTTTGTCGGTTAGTAATAAAGTTTAGATTGATTAGTAATTGAGATTATGATCCAAATAAAGTAATTGTAATCATTGGTTATGGAAGGAAGTAATCCTAAATAAGGGTTAATTGTTATAATGAACGGATTTATCCTTGTACGGGTTTGTAATTATGATGAATTAAGAGACCAAAATTTACGTTACACGCAATTAAGATTCAAGGTAATTTTAATTAAGTTTAATTTTCAATTGATTTATTAAATCATTGATTTTGTCGATTATTCAATAAGTGTAAATATAAATTGATTAGTTAATGGTCATCTTTGTTTTTGTTTAATCTCAACAATTAAACAAAGTTTCAATCTTTTGTTTTGAATGTAAATAGCAGATAATTTGAAATATCATAATCTGTTTCTTGATTGTTTTGTGACAGCAATCAGTTGATGATAAAATATAACATTTGGTTAAATATGTATGTAAATATTTGATTGAGATCACAATTGGAAAGTTGAATTAGTAACAGAAAATTGATCAATATCAAACTGATTGATTTTGAGTCTAAATTATCTAAAAAACTTCCAAAAAATAAGGCAAGCTAATATCGCCATCTCAATGGCAATTATAACAATTAAGAGACACTTATTAGTGATCACTCGTCGATTAATACTCAAATTCAACCATTTCTTTTGATATAACTCGACTTTCGGTAAGATCAATCTTATTACCAGCGATTACAATTGGTACTTGAATGGGCTGATTAGTCTGTAACTTGTTGTTAATTTGTTAATCATTAATTGGTGATGAATTTTGAATGTTGTTGTTGTTTGTGTTGCAGATGAACCTTTTGCCTTTGATATCATTTCTCTTAATTGTGTCACCTCTTCGAATGATTCTTTGCCGTTAATGGCATAAACTAAGATGAACGCACTCCAGAGTTAATTGCGAGTCTTCTCATCGCTGGAAATGAAAATGTTCCACTCATCCAATATCTCAACGGAAACCGTTCCAACCTCTTTAATCTCATATTCACTTTGTGGAGCTCTTCAACTGTTGGATTATGTTCATTCAGAAAAGAATCATATAAGAATCGTTTGATTATCGCCGTTTTACCCACTTTAGATGAGCCGATGATAACTAATCGATAATCATCTTTATCATTTCCATGAGATGGGCATGAGAATTGCAATTAATTCGCTGGATTAATAAGTTCGCTGGACTGGAACAGTTTTCATAGACTTATGTTTTTCGATCTCACGACACATTATTTCTTGTTGCTATTCATTAAAAATAGAATTGGCTGAGTTGAACAACATTATTGAAAGATACAAAAAAAGAGATGTCCACCTTTAGAGTCAAGAAAAATCAATGATCAACTTTTGTGTTTGATTTAATTCTTTCTCAGATTTGACCAATAAAAAGCTGTTGAGATTATTAGTCATCTTTGCTTGTTCAACTACAGGGCATTTCACCAAGTTTCCAACAACAAGGTTTTTTTGAATAACTTTTTTGTTTTTGAGTGTTCAGACCCTAGACTCGAGTTATGGTAGTTTAGGCGATACTCAATTGTCATATTAAAATATCAAGGTCATTCCGGTCATTTGATGGTCACAATATAACTAACTTGCAATCATGAGGCTCCTAACGAGTTTACAACTTGTGGACATTTTTAGTTGCTGAGATATAGCGTTTTTGAGGCAGAATCCTTTTCATTAAACTTTCATTAATTTGCTCGTATCAAAGAGCATGAGAGTCGAGAAATCATTATCATTTAGGTACATGTTAGTTTTTTAAATTTGAATCGATTATGACCATCAAATGACCTTGAAACCGTATCCTAACAAAATGACCGGAATGACCTTGATATTGTAATATGACAATTGATTTGTATCCCTTTGGTAACCTTTAAGTTTGTCTCAAAATCGATTGGATTAGATGTCGATGGTTAAATTGAAGGTCCACCGATTAAAGTACCAGGATTGGTTCGAGCGATAGTTTTAAACTTAGCCCATTCACCGTTGATTGTTGCCCAATTAGAGTTCATCTCAGTTTTTACTAGACTTGGTGATTGATCAACTTCCCTTTTCATTGAATCTAATATTCGATCACCTTCGGTGAACATATTATTCAAAACTCCTTCACCTAAGAGAATTAAAGTAAATAATTAATGTGGATTAATTTAAACTCTTATAAAATAATAGAAGAAGAGATGAAAGAGAAAACAGATCAACTAATAGATTACATACTTATTCTTTGTCTCAATCGATTGGTAATTTTTTCTTTCACAGAATAAAAATATTTGAAACCATCGGGAACCAATAAATGATTCAAAATTTTCACTATTAACTAGACGATTAAATAACATAGAGATTGAGTTAATTGTGTCAGGTAACAATTTAAAATTCGTACCTGAATTAAAAACAGCGGCGACCATACAAACATGGCCTAAGATAACGATTACGATTGAAAGGGTTCGCCAACCATTAAGACAACTAATCTCATCTTTTGACGATTTATTTTGAAGTACAATTGTGAAATTGCGACGAATTGAGAAACAATAAACTAACCAAGCAATTAAATGATCCCAATTAGTGGTTAATTTACAATTAGTTTCAATGATTTTCTCAAAAGGCAAATGATACAAATCAAGTAACGTCGAGATGATCAATAGTAAACCTAATATAATGAAACATGTACTAGAAAAACAAAAAAAAACAACAACAATTAAGATGATTATCAGGTGACAAGTGAATTAATTTGATTGTCATGATAATTGTGGACTTACATGATTAATTTTTCCGACCAATCAAAAGGTAAATCATAATAGGTTTCAATTTTAATTGCATCGACAACCTTAAGAGAAAGAAAATGAACATTTGGACTCTTCGTGTTCGTCGTCAAATTAAGAGTTGAAATTAATTGGAAACAATCCATATCTTAAATTTCTTCTTGATTCGATTAGATTATTCATTTGATAGACTAAACCATATCGATGTTGATTTAAATCGTAACCGTTTGGTGAAATTGCTAAATTGTCCATTCAACTTGTCGAAAGTCATTTTTCAAGATTTTGTTAAATCTAATCCATTAGAGATGAAAAAAAATCAAAGGTCATTCTTAAAATAACACTTAAAGGTCATACGGAGGTCGTTTACCTGAGAACACATTTAATGGCTCTAATTACAATTGTCAAGTCAAATTTACCTTCCAAGATCAGCGAATCAAAAAAAATTTTTAGAACATTTGATTAATTGGAACCAATAAAAACTTCTCTCTCCACTAATCCTTAAAACCTTTAGAAAAAAATAATAATACATAAGTAAAGAAAGAAACATACATGTAATAATAAGAAAAATGTTGGAAGTGAGAAAAAAAATGGCGAATTAAAAACCGAGATTATAAATTGAAATACTGAGAAAGACAATTTTACATGACAACACGAATTCTTGTCTCAACTTACGATGACAAAATTGTTGTCCAACCAAATCGATCATCTTAACATCAATACTAACCTAAAGAGAATTAAAAAGAGAAAAAAAATTCTTTTAATCGCAAAACCGCAACTAAAAACAAAATGGAAGCAAAAAGAGAAAAGAAAATAAAAAAAGAGAATAGAAAATTTTCTCAATACTTACCAAGAGTGTAACATATTAGGTGGTCACCTTTGACATGGCCAATACAAAAGATAAACAAGTGTCAACGTCATAGAATTTCAAGTTTCCAAATAGAGAGAAGAAAATTAATTCTCATTCTAAATTAAATTAAACTTGTAATAAACTTTAATTAGTATCGAAATTAACTAATTAAGAGGCAAAATTTTCTCCAACAATTAAACTCATATGTTGATCGTTTAAAAGAAAACATTTAACAATCGAATCGGTTAATCGATGTATCGATCATTATTCTTGCCTGGTGTTGGTTTTGAGATTTTTTGTTCACTTGGTTTTTTGGTTTGGTTTGTATTTGATTGGAATTGTAAATTAATTGTTCTTTACGGTTAAACTAATTTAAATTCTTTTTCTCTTTTATTAATTTTTCACAATTAATTTATACCTTATCACTTACTTAACCTGTGAAAATTGTTTAGAGTCTAAATTTGGGCTCTAAATTACCAATTACCAAAGTCTAAATTTTCACTTTTCTATCTTTTTCTCTCCTTTCTTTTCCTGTTCTTTTTTTGTCTGTTCAATTGATAAGCTATGATTTTCTGACTCTTGTTGTTATCGTTTTTTTCTCTATTCAACTCTACAATAAACAATCAATAAATATGTCACTGGTCTTCATATTCCTTAAAAAACGTTTATCTTCTGTTTCCAGTGTCATAAAAGTTAATTAGAGCCTTAATTATTAAATTATATCACCTGGCTCAAAATACAAAATTACCCAATTTACTGGCCATGGATGATTTAGGCCTCAGCTCTCGGCTGTTAGGCTTCAAGACAAAGGTAACCTCATTTTCTGTTCTTTTTCAATTTACTTCATTTTTTTCTTCTCGTTTACTTCTCATTTTGACTGAGAGGTTTCAAACTCTATCCTGTGTTAATACCTTTGTTTACACTTGCAGAGTTTGATCTATTTACTCAGCCTGTTTCTCTCTCTCTCTCTCTCTCTCTCTCTTTGAGTTCAATTGATAATTTTGCCTTTTGTTTATTGTGATTTTTAATTCATTTTCTATTCCATTTGTTTTTAAATAGATTGATGATGCCGTGGCCTTGGTTCCGGACATGACAGCTGAAGAAAAGCTTAGAGCTGTACAATTTTGGAATGTTGTCTCTGAAAAATTGCAGGGAATTGTTAATGACAGTGCTGCTGACATTAATGCGCTTATACCTGATGAATTTGGGGATGATGATTTAAATAAAGAGACGAAAGAATTGGTAGAAACCATTGAAAATAGTAAAAATTTTGATTTTGATTCAAGCTTGACCAGTGGAACAAGTTTGACTGCTCAGCCTGAAGATGAATCACTCGATTTTCCTGATATTGCGTCGACTAATCTATCGGATACAGGTTTAGATTCACCAGCAGACAGTTTATCAGATGCTAGAGTTAACGATCCAACATTATCGTTAAATTTATCCAGCTCTGAACAATCACCAACTGGGACAACTAATATTCAATCTACTCCACCACACTCACGATCACTTGTTGACACAGATGCAAATGATACTCTTTCTATGAATGGAAATCTAAATGAATCAAACGATTGCGAGATTGATGTTGATCAATTATCAGTAATGGAAAATGAATCTCTTCACTTTTCTGCTGGTAATGTTGATGAAACTCAAATTGGTGATCTAACCAATATAAGTACAGATGCAAATGTCTTATATGGTTTGGAATCAACTGATCGAGCCAATGTAATCCAATCAACATCACCTAAACAACATTTCAACAATAATACGACTGTTGAATCATCCATTCAAGACAGTAACTCGAGTCTGGGAGAAAATCTTGGAGCGGAAAGTGAGAGTAGTTTCATCAGTGAAAGTGGAGAAAGTCTAAATATAGATCGATTTGGTGTCTCTCACGTTTCATTAGAAATGGAAACTGATACTAATTCACTTGAAACACTTATGGTTAACCAATCGACCACGAATGGCCTAATGGCGACAACAGTTGACAATAATAAGATTTTAGATCGATCAAATTCTATCCAATCGAATGGAAATGTTTCTCTCAAGGTGAACGATGATGATGATAAACAGTATACCTGCGATGTCTGTGGAAAAATATCCAACAGTCATTCTGCTCACACGAGTCATAAATGGACTCACACTAAATCTTTTACTTGTGACGAATGTGGAGCAAAATTTTCCACCAAGGGTAATCTTCTGGTCCATCAGCGTCGACACACCGGCGAGAAGCCTTTCGCTTGTGACAAATGTCCAGCCATATTTTCAACCAAGGGAAATTTACGACGACATATTAAAGCTCATAGCGGTGAAAGATCATGGAAATGCGAAGTCTGTGGATCAAAGTTCACAGAGAAGAAAAGTCTCAAGGTGAGTTTTTAATTAGAAGAAAAAAATTCATTACATTTTTATGCTTCTTTCTTTTCCAAGTTATTAATCTTGTCTCTCTTTCTTGCTCCCTGGTTTTTTTTAACTTTTCTTGTTTCATGTAACCCTAATTTAGGTGCATATGCGTCGTCACACTGGAGAACGACCTTATAAATGTACAGTGTGTAACAAAGCCTTCTCCCAAACTGGAGTACTTCAAACTCACATGGCTCTTCATTTGGACGAAAGGAAATATCTCTGTGAGATGTGTGGCAAAGCGTTTCGACAACGATCTCAGCTTCGGTTACATGTACTTCGACACGAGGGTGTTAAAAAATGGGATTGCTCCAATTGTGCGGCTAAATTTCTGACTAAAGGTGACCTGGAGCGACATTTCCGTATACACACTGGAGAGCGACCTTATGTTTGTCCACTTTGTGGTAAAACTTTTACTCGACAACAATCACTCAATGAACACTCAAATCGCCACCTTGGTTTGAAGCCATATAATTGTGACATTTGTCATAAAAAATTCTCGGAAATGTCGGCCTGCTACAAGGTTAGTTAAATAATATTCATTAAATTTTACTCATTAATCAAAATTTCATCTCAAATTTTGCTCTATCTATCAACAGCATATCAAAATCCACAAAAAGCAGCAACAAAAATCTGAATCCGATAATCCTGACCTCGTTAATCAAGATTTTCAATCAATGGAATCAACTATTGGCGATCATCTATCTCAGCCAATCCTTAACTGACAATTTGAAACCGTTGGCAATTAAGATTTAACGATTCGAAGCTTTTAATTGTGTGTTGCTATGAAGCCATCGTCCAAGTTAATCATGATTAGTTTCACTTAATACTAATGCATCTTTCCAGCCATTAAAAGACACCATAAGGGTCTAAACACTCATTAAGTAATTTTTAATAGTTAGAAGTTTTCTTTTTATCTTTTATGTGTTAGTTGTAAATCAGCAACTACGAAAGTGATTAATACTTTTTCTTTTGTTTTCTCAATATTTCTCTTTTAATTATAATCATCAATCAAGAAAGTTAGAGACTAACTCAATGAGCCAACGAATGATTTAAATGATCTAAATCATTTACAAAGGTTTATCTCAAACTCTTTCTTTCTTTTTTCTCAAATAATCAAATGCAAAACAATTTAATTAGTTTATCTTCTTCCGCCGTCTTAATCATCTACATTATATCAAAGTTGATCAAGAGACTTAATTGGTAACAATTTAATAACTACTATTATATACAAAAATCAAACTATGTACTTTAATTATGAAATGACAAACATTATGTGAACTCTTTTTGCTTAAACAATTAAACAAAATCTGTAGCTTTCCAGGCTAACAGACCAAAAAAAAAACTCACTCTAATCACAATTACCTAATCAGCACAATTAAACAAATTACTTTTTTCTAGTCACAATTATCTTTACAATGGAAATTAATTTTATTGGCCAATCATTAAATCATCAATTACTGTCAATCATCAATCGACTAAGTGATAAAAACATTGCAATTTCCATATGATTCAATATTTTAATCAACGATTAAATAGTCAATTAGCTGAGTAGTAATTAAGATTAATTTAGTTATTACAATTTTTTATTTAACTCTAATCCTTTTTTTTTGAGTTTTCTGGTTTTCGGTTGACAATTTTTGTTTGTTGACATTTTATTGATTACCAATTGAATTGATTTGTGTGATATTGGTAAGCAATTAAATTGTTGCTTTGTTAATTGTTGTTCGGTGTTGATGTTAAAATGTGTCTTCTAATGTTAATTGTAAGGTAAATTATATCCAATATTTGATTGTAATAAATGATTCACTACCTGATGGGGACAATTTAAATTGTTTGGGGAATACAAAGATAATTGATATAATCAACGTTGGCTAATTACCCTCAAGGACTTTGACACTAATTGTTAAATTAATCAAAACACTGAATTAATAATTCCTATTAGTTAAATGTTATCATCAACAGAGAGAAAGTGTTTAACTTTTTATTAATTAAATTACTTTAATTTGTTAGAGGGAAAAATTGTAAAAAAAAAGACAAATTAATCAACAAAAATAGGAGGAAATTGTTGATTAATTTAAAGTATAGATTAACAATCAATGTTTACATTTAACAATTAAAATTGATCATCAATCAAAATGATAAATCTAACCAACAACATCCAAGGTAATAAACTAATCGTACTGGAATCATGATCAAAGATTATTAATCAGTTAATTTCCAATATTATCATTTGACCTAATTGTAAGTATTAGGATGGATTTTGATTACTACGATATGTTGATTAGTTAATGATAACAATTAGTAAATCAACTCACCTCAATACAAGCTTTGGCAAGTTTTTCCCTCTCGAGTAAGTTAAGTTGACCATAAGCATTAAGGATCACCTTTGATCGGGCACAAATTGTTGTTAAATTTGATTCGTCATTAAAATCAACCACAATTAGACTAACATCGTTTAGATTACGGTCCATTTGAATGGCCACTTGAGTTAAGGCCACTTTTAATTGCGATTTGTGGTGTCCAGCGATCGCTATCCAACGAGGTTTCTTTTCCAATTCCAACCATTTAACCAAATTTCTCAATACATGTTTACCTGTATTTCCATTGGCACCGAAAATGATGAAGTCGAATTCACGTTCGGACATGATTATCATTTAACTAACACTTAACATCTAAATTTTGGTTAACACAAATCACTAACAATTTACAATCAATCTAACAGGTAACAATTTAAAACTGGTTACTATATTTAAAGAGTTAATCAACATTCAAATCTCACTCGTACGTCTTTGTATCCATAGAAACAAACTAATAATTAAGATTCAAGGTAAGTTTAATTTTTCAATTGATTTATTAAATCATTGATTTTGTCGATTATTTAATCACAAGTTGGTTAAGAAAGTTGTGAATTAATAAGTGTAAATATAAATTGATTAGTTAATGGTCATCTCAACAATTAAACAAAAGTTTCAATCTTTTTTGTTTTTGAATGTAAATAGCAGATAATTTGAAATATAATCATAATCTGTTTCTTGATTGTTTTGTGACAGCAATCAGTTGATGATAAAATATAACATTTGGTTAAATATGTATGTAAATATTTGATTGAGATCACAATTGGAAAGTTGAATTAGTAACGGAAAATTGATCAGTATCAATCTGATTGATTTTGAGTCTAAATTATCTAAAAAATTTCCAAAAAATAAGGCAAGCTAATATCGCCATCTCGATGGCAATTATAACAATTAAGAGACACTTATTAGTGATCACTCGTCGATTAATACTTCTTAGGATTACATGGACTCTTTTCAATTGGTAGCCAGTTTCATCAAGTCGTTCTCTGGCTCGAGTTAATGTTTCCCGTTGTTGGCCTAATTCTGCGATCACCTCAGTTCCAATGTTCTCACTTTCTTTGGCAATCATTTGAGCTCGAGTTAAAGACGCTCCAGTTTTCTGTAAAATTTGTATCCCTTTGGTAACCTTTAAGTTTGTCTCAAAATCGATTGGATTAGATGTCGATGGTTCAATTGAAGGTCCACCGATTAAAGTACCAGGATTGGTTCGAGCGATAGTTTTAAACTTAGCCCATTCACCGTTGATTGTTGCCCAATTAGAGTTCATCTCAGTTTTTACTAGACTTGGTGATTGATCAACTTCCCTTTTCATTGAATCTAATATTCGATCACCTTCAGTGAACATATTATTCAAAACTCCTTCACCTAAGAGAATTAAAGTAAATAATTAATGTGGATTAATTTAAACTCTTATAAAATAATAGAAGAAGAGATGAAAGAGAAAACAGATCAACTAATAGATTACATACTTATTCTTTGTCTCAATCGATTGGTAATTTTTTCTTTCACAGAATAATAATCATCTTTTAGATCTTCAAATCGCTTAGAAGAAGCCATGATGTTCTAATGGTTAAAATGTCGGTAGAACTGTGTATATATAAGCAGAGAGTTTAAAGAGGTTAATACACTGTATCTGGGTGGCGAAGGAGCTTCGACCCAAAAATGAAACTTGTCAGGCCAAAAGGTCAATGCGTGGGAGAGATGGTGAGGTTATATCAATAGTGATGCTGTTGATTCCAATTTATGTGCAAAGAGAGAGAGAGAGAGAAAGAAAATACCTGTGGATAGAAAGAGACAAAGAGAAAGTTAGAAGGAGTAAATATGCTGTGAGGGGGGAGAGAGAGAGAGAGAGATGATATTGAAGAGAAAAGAAGATCGCAGAGATTGCTTGGTTCGAATGTAGGTTAAAAGATGGATCGATATCGTTGAGAATTATGGTGAGGTCGAGAGGGGAAGGGATAAGACACGGAAGTAAAAGTGGCTCAATTTTCGTTAGAAGGAAGAACATGAGAAAGAAAATGAAGAAGGAGGAAGTTGTGAAGAGGTAGAAACTATTCGAGGCTACAAGTTCAATGTGCGCAACTTTGACTCGTATTTTACGAGGCAAAGGACATTAGTTCATTCAACTTATTATTGTTGAGTTGAAAAACGAAACCAGGCCATTCGAACAATAACAAAAGTCAACTCTTTTTTTCTTCTTCTCTCTCCTTAGATCTCTCCTTACTCCTTCTTGTCTTCATCTTCTTCTTCAATTTGGGTTTGTCTTGTTTGCATTGTTGTTCTTTCACTTATCTTCTCCTGTGGGATAAATAAACAAGAAAGAGGGAGAGATGATTATGATGATAAAAGATGAAAATTACGAATAGAAAAGGGAGAGATAAAGAGAGAAAGTAAAAGAAGAAGAAGAAAATAAATTCAACTCAGATCTTTAACCAGAACTTTTCAGGATATTGACCTAAACTAACCTCTTAATTTCTGTTTCTGGGTCAGGTTAATGTTATCATAGTATCTTCACCTCAAAGCCTTTCCCCTTTACCAAACCAATGAAAAAAAAACAACAATAATCAACAATGATTTAGACAAATTGACAATCAACCGAAACATCAAAATCTGATAACGAATTGAAAAAACATTGAAAATTTTTCTCACCATTTTTTTCATCCATAGAAACCGAAACGAAAAAAGAACCAATCACTTACATTGTCTCTCTCAATAATTTACTCTAAACTCCAAAAATGATTAAAAAGAAAAAATTGAAACAAAAGAGAAATCAATCAATTGTTACCATAAAAGAAAATTAATCAACACTGGAAAAGATTAGAAATTAAAAATCATAATAAACAAGAAGAAGAGAATAGGATAAGTGGGCGGGGAGAATAGAAAAGCTTGAAAGAAGTTGCGCAAAAATTGAATTCGATTGGAAAACTGAACATTCACAAAGAGACTTAATTGTGATCAGTCTGTTGATCTTAAAATTAAATTCTAATTGTGATGAGATGAATTTAATTTTCTTTCAAATGAGCAACAATTGAAAACATTTTCCATGAGAATCTTCATCATCAGTTAATTTCTTTTTCTTTAATCACAAACCAAACTGAGAGAGGAAACGTTTCCATTTCTATGACATAAGTGTTAACCAGTTTTCCTTTTCCGACCATTTTGTTGTTCTCTTGTTTTTTAATTTATCTCGTTAATTGTTGTCACTATTTGGTAACAATTAATTGTCTTCAGTTTGGACTATTCCGTTATCACCATTGATTCAGTGACAATTAACCATCAATTGGAAAAGGCAATCGGTAAGTTTGATTTCTCTTTAGGCTTAAGGTTATTTCTTGTTTTCTACATTTTATTTGGCTTTTTTTGTTCTATTCTCTTTTGGAAATTTGTTCTTTTCTCTTCTGTAATTTTTTTGTTTTCTATTTGTCTATTTATTGTTAATTTTATTCTTTCTTTCTCTCTGAATGTTCAAGATTCCATGTAATCAGTTATTTGTTGCCAAAATTGTTCAGTTTCTGTTTTTCTCTTATCTCTATCCTGACAGTTACTTTTTCTCTTTCTTGTTCTCTTTCTATTTCTCTGTCTATTTTTCATGTTTACAGTTTTGACCCTTCACTTGTTGTCAAATTGTATTTGTTTCTATTGATTAAATTAAATTATAAGTCACTTTTCTTGACAAATTAATTTAATTCTATTGTAACTCAGCTTCGCTGTTTAATATAAACATTTCCTCGTTGATTTGTTCATTTTTTCAGATTATCTGTTAGATTATCGATTCTTAATTCCAATGATTTTCATGTATTTTAGTGATCGACTTTTTTCTGTCTTCTCTTTTTAATTTTTTCTCAATAATTCATGAGTTCTCTCTTTCTCTTCCCATCATTTTCCACCATCTATATCAGTTTACAGCATAATAATAATATCTGCGAATACATTATGAATATTCTGTGTGGAAAAAGATTTGATCAGTTTCAGAGTTTGATATGTAGGTCAAAATGTCTCTCTTTCTATGTTGAAACTAACCCTGTATAAAGAGAGAGAGAAAGAGAGAGAGAGGGAGATTCACCATTGAATTATAAAATCAATTTTCACTCATTTCTCTGGTGTAAACGAGATTAATACAATAATTTGATTACCTGTCAATGAAAAAAAGCCAAAACAATTGCTAGGAGAAAAAAAAATATCTCCACTTTCCTCTTCCCAATCAATCATATTATATATTATGAGAATACAATAAACAATATCCTGATACAGAAAGAAGTGAATTCAATTAGAGACTAGTTAATGTTACTAACAATCTAAGGCTAACATTATATAAATTAATTAACCAAAAAATTAGGTCGATCACAAATTTCTCCAAGTCCAGGATTGAAATTCTTGTAATTAAAGCTACTTATTATTGATAGTAACAGTCTAGAGATACTATTTGATTGTAACTCTTGATTATTATTACACAATTCCCTTTACCTTAATTGTCACGTAATAGTAATAATCGCAACCCTTAATAGTGTCCAGTCGAAATCTCCTACTAATTGTTGATTAACTCTCATAATCAAGGTTATTCATAGAATATTTTTCCAAACCAATCTACATTTCCAAGGTCTATTTGATATAATTTCTTTTTCGACAATTAATTACAATTTATTAATTTGATTGTTAATCATTTCCCACCGATCTAATCTGATTTACTTCTGTTCCTTATTAGTATTACAATGATTTTTCCCCTAATTTTAGTTATAACTTTTGGAAAATAACGAGAAATGATAATTATCATTGATTTTGTTATTTATCAATCACAATCACAACTAAATTAATACTACCTGAATCCTGATTGATTGAGTTTTAATTGTTTCCATTGAGATTTTTAACAATTTTTTACCAAATTGTTATTCATTCATTTCCAATAAAATCTTTTGAGATTATTTTTACAAATTAAACCTAACAATTAATATTAGATTAATTAATTGCAAACAAGATAATCAAATCAGTTTACAAGCTTCCGTATCAAATTGATTGATTGTTTTGTTTTTAATCCTCAGTTATAAATCTAATCTAATTCAGTAATAGTTATTTTCCATAGATTATCAATCCTTTTGTGGTTATTTACGATTTTTCCTAATTATCTTACAATTAAACCTTAATCATAAAGTGAAATTTTCGGGAAAGGTCAATTAACTAATTATTGATTGTAATTTAACAATAAAAAACAATCACTGTGTATGTAACATATTATCACTTAGATTGATTAGTTGATTGTCAATTAAATTGCTGTTCGATATGGAAACAATTAGAATTAGAAAATAACAATTAAAAAATATCTTTTTGTGTCTCTATGGACTTGATACTGTAACATATCATATCTTAATTGGACAGAAAAAAACATAACAATTTAGTTAATTGTTGAGATTATTGGTATTATTATTATCGTTTTTTGTATACTCAAAATTAATTGTTCCCAAAAAAATTATTATATTTTCAGAATAAAGTTTCAAGTGTTGATATTTTTGTTAGTTTCCAATTGCGATTTAATCACAATTAACTTTTTCCTAAAGCTCATTCAAATTATTTAATATATTATAAATTAGCTTTGATATCCAAAGTCATCTAACTGTAAACAATATTTTCATATTTTCCGTCATTTTCAATCAGTGATTATAATCAGTTGATTACCATTGTGATTAACTTTCTAATCAGCTGATTGGATCTTGATAGTAATTGTAAGCAATCAAAAGAGACAAGTTGATTTGAAACAAACACAACAAACAATTTGACTGTGTACGTGATTAACAACAACTTTTTCTTGATCAAAATTAGCCCAGTTAATTGTGTAAAATCCCTTCACTTGTATATTGAACTGTAAAAAATACACAGAGTTAATTGTTATACATAAGTGATCAAAATACATGTGTTATAATTACCATTATATCATAATCATATCTACATAACTAATTATTGATTCAATTTAATTTAATTTTCTCATAACCTCCTTAACAATTAGTGATCTCTTATTGAACTATCTTAAACGTGACCTGAATTCGTTTGTTCCGTTCAAAAGTGACTGGAATTTGGATGATACTTATCTTAATTCATCGAAACCTTACCTAATGATCAGGATGAAAATAGTTGAGAGACAAAATTCATTAACTGATTGGGATATAATTACCGTAGCTGATTTAACTCGTGCCGCTCAAATTGCCGCTACTCAAACAACTTCAGTTGCAAATACTTTTCTCCACAAAGTAAGTATCCTAAGACTAACCTTTAACTCCTTATAATTTAATAATCACAATCGATTAAACTTAAAATATAAACATAAATCGATTTGATTTGATACATTCCACTTCGCCGCTTGATTATGGGCTATTCAACCCACCCCGTCGATCGTTGATCTAATCTAATACAAAAACACACACCTTCTTAATCTCGATAGTTGATAATCCATGAGTCCAGTTTCTTAGAAATCAAATGTTAATTAAGTTGCTCTAAGAACCTGATTAGGACTGATTATTTTCTCCAATCAATTGATCACTTACCGATTTTCTTAAATTAGTATTTGACCTTCAATCGGAGATTTAATGTTTTCATATTTTCCTTTGAAGTACATTGACTGGATTAATTTTTATTATCTTCCAATTAATCAACCACAAAAAAAATTGATTTAATCATCATCCATGTCTTTACAATATATTACAATCGTAAATTAATATCACAATTAACTTTTCCCCCTTAAGCATTGATAAGCAACTACAATTTAGTGTTTACAATTAAGAGGCTCGTCCATTTTATTGTTTTAATTGTTGTCTTTTATTGTTGATTTTTTTGTGGGTACCAATACTTAACCCAGGATGAGCATATTAATCAAAAAAATCATCTTACCAACTTAATTATGATAATAATCTTAATCTAGTGTTGATTTAATTTCCTAATCATTTACACTCTGTGATCTTTTTTTTCCATTGGCCTCATAAGCCACTAATCATTTTTTGATTATCTTTAATTACCTGATGATTGATTAAACATTAATTTATCCAAAAAAAATAAGGCGATGTTTCAATCAAATTAATCAATTTACGCAACTTATTTTTACATTGATTGTAAAATTTACGTTATATTTATATTTTAATTGTTGACATAAATTACAGGCGACAATATTTTTACCTGTATTTTAATTATTATTACCCTTTTGTTATGATAATTTACTTACCTGAAAATCAAATTAACAACATAATCAAATCAAGTCAAAGTCCTTTTGTTAAAGGTAACTTTGAATTGAAACAATTGATTTTAATCATTAATTAGATTAATTTTGATTTGATATTCAGAAGTAATTTATGATCATTAGTACCGTTGTCACTAGACGCCTCTAGAATTTATTAGTTTTATTATAATCAATCAGATAATTGTTGTTGCAATAATGGTCGTAGACAACGAACACACATGTTAATTGAATGTAGATAAATCAAATCAAATCAATTATGTTTTTTTATGACAATTCAAAGGTTAATTTTAATTTCGAAATAATAATTTCTCATTAATAAATTGTTTCTTTTTTATTTGTTACTTTAGGTGGAAAAAATTGTTAGCAAGGCTTTTAGTCGATCTGCAACATCAAGTCCAATTGAAACGAATCCAAGTCCATTGAATGAGAAACAATATTACACTTACTTGGACGCTCAAGGTCGAATCAGGTCATTACAAGAATTACGAATTTCAATATTCCGACGAGGTGTTGACCCGATATTACGTCGAGCCGTTTGGAAACATTTACTCAACGTTTACCCTCCGGGTTTAACGGGAAACCAACGATATGAATATATCAAGGAGAAAGCGGAACAATATCATAGAATGAAAACTCTGTGGACTTCAATGGTTGGCTCAGATGAGACGGTCGATAGTACCCTTAATATGGTTCGAAAAGATGTTCTTCGAACTGATCGTATGCATCCTTTTTATTCATCATCTTTACCACCGTCATCTTCAAGCTTATCAACATCATCAGCTGATCTTGATAATAACCCTAACGTGGTCAGTTTACTTAACATATTAACCACTTTTGCCTTAAATCATGGAGTTAAATATTGTCAGGGAATGTCCGATTTGGCCTCACCTTTACTTTATGCAATGAAGGACGAAGCACAAGCTTACATTTGTTTCTGTGGATTAATGTTAAGACTTCGAGAAAATTTCACAATTGATGGTGAAGCGATCAGCTGTAAATTTGATTATCTATCTCGTCTACTTCAATATTATGATAGCGATTTTTACTCTTACTTAAAACAAGTTGGTGCTCAAGATTTACTCTTCTGCTATCGGTGGATTCTTCTTGAGTTGAAACGGGAATTCCCCTTCGATTGTGCTCTAACCATGTTAGAAGTTCTCTGGTCATCAATCCCTCCCGTTCCTATTGATGATCTACCCCTTTACGATGAAGGATTTCGATATGATCTTGATAAAGGTTCAACTCAAGATGCATTAGTAATGGAAGCCGATCTTGCCAATATGGCCACTAATTTGGCCACATCGGGTAAAGGTTATCACTCTCGATCTAATTATCACCATCAGGGTTCATCAGATGAAAACGATGGAGATGTTGAAGATGCTGAAGATGAAGACGATTCTGCTATTAAGAGTAATAATAAGTCCAGTAATGGAATTGATAGTAGTAATTATCAGACTAATTGTGATAATAAAAAAAGTAATAATTTGATTAATGGAGTAATCAACAGCAACAATCCTCATCGCGGAAATCATCACTCGGTTCAAGTCGAAATGTGAAGATACCAATTGTTAATCGTCGTTATCCTCGTAGTGGTCATCACAAGTATGGAGATCAGTTCAGTTTGATGAACCATAGTTTACCAGAATTTGGAACTCGAACTTTTGAATGTGGAGATCTTGAAAATTCTGGATCCATAAAGATAAATGGTCTCTATTTAAGTCATCATATCGATCATCAACGGCAAAGGTCATCAATATCAGCCTCATCAGCAACATCTAATCATTTATCATCATCACCATTGACAATAACATCAGTGAACAAAATATTGCCCCAAGATAATCATGTTCATAATACAAACATTAATCCACCAAATGGTGTAAAGGTTAATTCAAATTCGGCATCGAACCAATCAACTCAGACCACTCGAAGCTCTTTACCTCATGTATTGAAAGGAAATCGACCTCTTCGGACTATTCGATTTCTTCCAAAGATTTTATCCAACGATTCTAGAGAAATTGATTCACCGGACGCGGAAGAATCAATAACTAAGACGTTCAATTTTCCACCAAAAATGATTGACAAAGGATTCAGCATTGACAGTGATGGTGATTGTCGCCGATTAACCAGCTTTGAATCAGTCGGTGGTTCCTCTAAAAATTCATCTGTTGATATTGAGGAAGATGGAGATCCATCAGCAACAGTTAATCATCACGATTTAAGAGGTGGAATCCATGGAGTTGGTGGATTAGCGGGAATCAAAGGTGGTGAAAATAATACCTCAACATCTTCATCTTCTAGCTCGTCTTCAGCTGCGGTCAGATTACGATGTCAACAAAGGCGTCGTTTATTTTGTCGGTTAGGCTCGAGTGGTGGTAGCGGTCAAACTGGTGGTGGAAATAGTTTGGGTAGTTTTGGACGGGATAATAGTGAACCAAGTTCACCTTCATCATTTCATTCGGGTTCATTTGTTTATCCCAATAATGTTAATACCTCAACTCATGAAGTTGAAACCGATTGTGAACAAGATCTGATTGTCCATTGTAATGGAGAGTATACCGATTCTCGGGCTAATAATCATCAACAAGATTGGATTATCCCTCGGGGATTAGCTCGCAGTGTTTCCTATGAATGTCTCAAAAATTTCACCATAACACCAGGGTCTCCCACCCAAAATGGTGAAACAACTAATCTGATCAACACAATTAACATCAATGACTGTGCCGGATCATCAAACAGTGGATTAGTCATACTAGAAGGAAGCTCTAGTAACACTGGTTCAGGTCATCATCTCAATACTGCTGGACTTACACCGAACAGTGATACCGCTGAAGCGGGTGCACTTTTAGGATCACGAAACAGTAATACTCAAGGTTTAGAAAAGGAAAGATCCGAAGGATATGGTTCGGGTTCTGATCCATCTGACCTCATGTCGGAAGTTCATTCAGCTTTTGGTGGAACCCTGGACGGAGCCAAATCTGATTCATCTTCATGTTCATCACTTGTTATTCTTAATTCAAATGGATCATCAACCAACGAATCAAATCATTCACCTCCACCATCTTCATCTTCATCTTCATCACCATCAAATAACAATACAAATAATGTCGATATTAATAACGACAAAATGAAAAACACCAATAATGGAAACATCAATGATGATAAACCCCTTTTACCCTCACCCACTGAATTGGGTTCATCCAATGCATTTATGTTGTTCCTTTGTCTCACCATATTACTTCAACATCGAGATAAAATAATCTCTTCCGGATTTGATTGTAATGAGATCGCTGTTTATTTTGATTCTTATATTCGTCGACATAATGTTCAATCTGTTCTCGAAAACGGAAGGTCACTTTTCCAATCTTATCTTAACCAGTGGCATCAAAATGACAATGAAAATAATTTATCACAAGAATTTCCTCCAACATCATTTAACTAAATCCAATAATGACCAAAAAAAAAGATTTACAAACAATTACTAAATTCATCTTATTATGAATGAGCAAAATTAATCCTGTTTGAATGAAAATCCAGTCAATCGACAACAAAAACTTTCAACTAATCAACAATTTACCATGATGATTACTAAGAATCAGTATTATCAATTATACATTACTCATCAATTCCCTTTGATTGTTTACAATTAGCTGTTAATTTCCTTTAAGAAAAAACAAACCTCGTCATCATCTTGATCATATTTTTAATTGTTTTAACTTCCTTTTAATCAACTTTGATTGTCTTGATTTTTTACCATCATCATATTAACTTTTCATGATTTATTATCATTCCCTAAATTGATTGATCATCCAGTTTTCCCTAAAGAAGGATTGACAAACCAAACAATTAACTAATTACTATCCAACAAAATTTTATACACAAATCAGATGAAAAAGAAAATCAATTGTTACAAACAATTTAAACACTTCTTTCTACAACTTTAAAATCACAATTTAATTAACTACAATTACCTCAAAAACTGTGATCGTAATGCTAATTGACATAAATCATCATTTTTTTTCATCATTTTCTAAATCACAATCAACTAAACAATTTGATTGATTGATTAACTTGAATCATTGCTAATTATTAATTTACTTGGTAATATGGAAGGTGAGAAAATTTTAATTGTTTCTAATATATTAATCAAATTTGATTTAAACATCATCATTATCTTAACTATTGATTATGTTTATCAATATTTAAATCATTTTATACACTTAAATTGTTTGACTCTCTCCCTAATTAAACTGAAATAATTTCCATTGAAAACAATTTAATCTAATTGTTGCAAACAAAACCCCCCTTTCTATTGATTATTAACTGATTGTAACACCTTTTAATTGTTTGTAAATTATTGATCACTGGACACAAAAGGAAAATTGAACAATTAAATTTGATTGTAAATGTTTTCCAAAACAATTAAACAAACAGATTCAAATGTGAAGCCAAAATAAACAAACGGTTTAATTATTAATCTTGCAAAAAATTATGTGAATTTTAATTTTATTTGTTTTAATTGTGACAATTTATTTGTAAAGATCAAAAATAATTTTGAATAACAATTAGTTCAATTATTTAATTTCTTTTCACCATTTCAATTAGTTTTACATAAATATCGTTATCATCTAAATAATTATCATATAATATATCAACTTTAATCACTTCTAATATAATCCTGGACAATTAAAGAAAAATTATCAACAGATAATTAAGTTAATTGTTGAGAGAAAAAATTTTCTTCCAACAAAAAGATGAGATTTTAATACGACCCTGATTCCCTTCTTTTTTTTTATCGATTGATTTTCTTTAAAATTTGTTGATATGTTAATTTGAATTGTTTTTAATCCTCTTGTAATTAGATTTAAATTAATTGATGAGAAAATTAAATTCTATTGAACTTGTGGTGGTACTATAATAGCCAATGCTATGGATTAATTGGTGTATTTACATTTTGGAAAGTGTTTTAATCTAAAAGGGTAAATGTATCTTGGAAATTGGTGTTGATTTAAATTCTGTGTCTTCATGTTTGTTTTAATGATGATAGAGGTTAAAATTTAGCTATTTTTTGCCATCTATTTGAAGATGTTGATGTTTTACTTGGTAACGATGACCGCAGGGAGGATGACCTTTGAAATGATTTAACGCAACAATTAAAAAAACGCTTCTTCACCTCAAACTTAATTCTCGGATGAAGATAACCATAAACAAAGGGATCCATTACCGCTGAGGTTTTGGCAAACATTGCCGGTAACATGGCCATGGTTGGTGTTAATAGAAGAGGATTAATTATACCAATTAGAGAGACAACTGCATAGGGTGTCCAGGTGATCATCCAAAGTGTAATTAAAGCCATTGAGGTTCTAACGAGACGATGTTCAAGTCTAATTCGGTGTTGGGTTCGCTGTTGAATCATTATATTATTATTTATGTTACCATTGGTTGGATTATTAGTACCACTACTGTTACTATTGTTACTGGAGTTTTCGTTATAAATGTTGGTACCATTTCGGTTACTCGAATGATGTTGACTAGGATTGTTACTGTGATGATCGTTTAAAGTTGGACTTGGAACTGATTTTGTGGCATAAGTTTCAAAACGAGCTGATGAACGATGGGTCGCTCGATAGATGCCAACATAAGAGCCGATAATTATAATTGATGGTATTACCCAAGCTCCAAGGAAAAAGATGAAAACAAAAGCCTTGACTCAATTTAGTTGACACATAATCAAATGAACATGTTGTCAAATGTCCTTCTGGTATATAATTGTTAAAGAAACCAAATATGGGTGGAATTGTAAACATAAACGAATACAACCAAAGAAGGATAATCAACACAATTGATCCTCGATAATCAAAATATGGTTGAGAAAAGTTCTGATGATTAATTGTTAGATAACGTTCAAAAGTAACCGCTGTTATTGACATAATCGTAACTGTCCCTGAAAGGCCACCAGCAAATCCATAAAGCTTACAACCTTTTCCAAAGGAATAAGATTAAAGAAAGAAGAAGAAGAAGAAGAAAAAAATGGATTAAATCAAAGAAATCATAACACAAAATTTCATCATCATCATTAAGATACAACTTGGAATCATATTAGTAATATGATTAGCAACGGAACGATTTTTTTATTTCTCTTATTTTCTACAAACACTCCGATTACACACTTGAAAGTGCTGGCGAACAACAATCAAAAGCTATAAAATTACAAAGAAGCAATTGAAACGTAAAAAAAGCCATTAGGACAATTAAAATAGCCTCTAGTGGATTAACTTGGATGGTAATGAAGCAAGAAGTTAATTTGATCAAAGGTAAACCTCTAATATCTTGAGGTTCAAATTGTGAAACTTATTACACAGAAATGATTATATAAATACAACAAGCTTTATAAAACATTGAGACGAAACCAGGGAGAAAGTGAGAGAGAAAAGTTCAGAATAATCTGAGATTAACCAAGCAAATGAGAAAAAAAGGAGAATCAAAGACAAATAAACATTTGGAAAAGTCAAGGATCACAAACGACAGGATAATATCTTACAGATCATCATGATTATCATCGTTATCCCCATGAAATTTATCTTGCAAACTTCATCTTCTTCCTGATAACTTGGAGTAAAAAAAAAAGTCAACACTAACTTCAATTTAAACTGTTACTCTGCAATCAGAATATTTGATTTCTATTCATCCTCATCCTCATCCTCATCTTTACTTTTTCTTTTTCACTCCAACTATTTACTTAAATTTAATGTCTACTTGAATCAATGGAGATGAAGAAATGATGATGGCAAAGACGATGGAACTTTACCTGTTGAAGGTAAAAAGAAACTGGAGAGAAAAGAAAATCCCGAAAACTTATCATCATTTTCTCTCTTCGTAACTCGAAAATTCATCCCGAACGTCTTATTTCATTCCCTGAATCTATTGATGTGAAATGATGATAAAGTTATCATCAAGTTCATTCTGATTCTGATTTGATGATAATAATCTTTATGATGTTTGATATAAATTCTCATGTTGGAAAAGAAGAAGAAGAAAAAAATAATGGCCAACATTTGACTCGATGGTAAACATTGTATCTCCAATTGAATTGCTATTCCAATTTTAATCATTTCCTGTGAACTCAATTCGAAGCAAATCCCTTGGTGATCAATTAATTGTCAATCAATCGGACCAATGACTCTTTTTCTTTCATTTGTCCTTTTAATTAATATTTAAAAACGATCGTTAAGTATATCAGCGGATGTGATTTCTCATTAATCTCAGAATTGATTAACTATTCAATGAGTAATTCATCAATCTAAATCCAAACTTTTTCCATCATCTATTAATACATGGTATTAACATCTTAATACCAACAATCAATTATTCAATTATATTTTATTCATAAACTATGGTTAACTCAAAAGTTAATCAGCTAAATGTTACATCATAATAATAACATTTTTAATTGTATCTTCTTGTCTTGTCTCATTTCAGGCATTGGATCAATTCAATTGACGATAATTGAATAATTTCAAGTTCAAGCTTTTGTTGGTACTAACAATTGGATCACGTTTTCCATTTCAATTTAGTTATCTTGGTGTGAAGGACAATCAGAGGAAAATTAATAACAAGTTGATATAAAAGTTCAATTCCTTAATCATGGCGAGAAAATGTAACAAATAATTTCAATCAATGAAAGAAACTTTAATGATAATATTAACCATTGAAGCTTAAATTCATGAAATTCATGTTCATGTTGAGAGGAAGACGAGAAGAAAAAAATCAACTAATATATTTATTTTTTCCCATTGCCAAAACTGTAAACCAATTCAATTAACTTAATCATCAACACCATGATCATAATGCTCCTGGCAATCTAATATTCAAAAATGATTCCTCAATGGATTTGACAGTAATTGAAATATTAATGTTATCATTTTGTTAGGTAACATTTTTTTCCAGGTAAATGAATACGATCCTTATATTAATCACCTTCTACTCCTTAATATCAACACTGAACAATTTGTATTCAAAATATTAACAACATTATTATTATCGCTACCTGATGATAACCTTGATAAAAAAATTCCGTATTTCTGAATACAAGAGTTAAATTGCTGGTTAACCATTAACTGTATTTTCCTGACTGACTAGTTAACCTTGCGATTTGATTACATTATTGAAGGTAGAAAGGAATCAATTTGATTAGTTTTAACTAATATTTTCCCCTGACCAATGAACAGATACAATTAATCTGAAAATAATTGATTGATTTCATTTTCATGGGAAAATCTGAAAATTTTATTTGACTGATTTTCCATCTCGACAATTAAAACAAACTTATCTTTTGTCTTTAAACTTGGGTATTTAGTATGGATGTTAACACTTTGTCAACTGAATTTAACCATGACAATTAACTGAATCTCAACTAAATTAATTATATTTCTGTTGTCTATCAGTTTGAATCCCAATTAACATATAAAGTTAATATGATTTCAAAGACTTTGGTTCAACGGTTTCTCCTCATTATGAGAATGATGTTGATAAAAGATGATCTCAAGTTCTGAAAATGTTGAATTCCAATGATTCTTGAGATGATAACATGATGAATATCAGAATTATAAACATGATGATTAAAATGTTAGCATTTTTTACTCTCTCTCTCTCTCTCTCTTTGCATCACAATTATCCAATTGATCATCATATTATTTATCATCCAATTTACCTTTCATTACATTTCCATCTTCACCTCGATGAACTTAATCATTATCTTAATCATCATTATCATTAACTTGATTTGGTTAATTCAGTTGACAGATAAATCAACCATTCTCATTATCAATTGTAATTAGTCTTGATGACGGTGATTATACCAGTACATTAAATCACGTTGAAATGTTTGATTTTCACTAATCAAATTAAAGATTTGATTCATTTTTTTCTTTCCTCATTCTAAATTGTTTCTGATTATTAAAGTTGATTTTGTTCACCATCTTCTTGATTGTTGAACTTTTTTCTTAACCAATTTTTTAGCACATCATCAAGGTAATGTCAACATTAATTTCAATTTTCAATGTCTGATTCAGCAAAAAGACAATGATGATAATGGGATGAAAATGATGATATATACTTGTGAATCTATGAGATGGTTAATATTATCATGAAGAAGATAAAATCTATGAAACTATTCAAGAGGTTGATTATTATCATTCTTACAGTTGAGTGGAAGATATTACAATTCAATCTTCCATCATCATCTTCATCCTCATCTTTAATTCAATCCAATGTAATCATCTTGATGGCTTCAGTTTTGTTTTTCATTTATCATCATGTTCAATCAAAAATTCATTCAATCAGAATTGAAAACAATGAAACATTTTCCATTTGAAAAGATGAACATTTTTTTCATATATCAATTGATCAATAGATATTTTTATTATTCCTAATGTTTGGACAATTTATTAATTGCTCTGAGTTATTATAACTCAGAGATTGATGTAATTGTCTAGTTAAATTGTTACGATTAACTTGCTTCCGACAGAAGAGATTATTAATTTTTAATTCCTTTTACTCTAATTGCAGATTTCAAATTGATTTAAATTACAATCAATATGATCCCAATAGTGTTAATATCAAATCTAATTGTTGATTACTAGGAAATTGGAAGCAATTAGATCAATTGTCACGTTGATAATTCAACGGATTAGAGTGAAACTGGACTAAATTTAAACGATAATCAGGAAATTTAATCTAATCACACCTCGATTGGTTGATTTAACAATTAATCAACTAAATCTAGTGTTTCAAATGTTTAAACAAAAGCTTTGAGAGTTATAAATTCAAATCACTAATCACTTTTGTCTAATGTCAAGATTTACAATTAATTACGATCATCATTCCCATCACAATGAGCTAACAATCAAGGTTATTAGTTAGAAATTCAATTAACTCCAAATCTAATTAAACTTTAAATATAATCAATTCCCAAATGATTGCAATTTTTTAATCAATGAGATGATTT